TTTGGAGCTCCTGTTACATATTTTTTAGGCTGTTCTCTGGGAAGACTGATCTGCTCACAGTTGCTGAGACCTTTTTATACCATGTTCCACATGGGATTGTTCTCGCCTTCATCAGGGAAACCTCCAGGGAGGAGGGCCCTCTGAATGGTGGCAGAGGGGTGGACCTAGCTTGAGACCGTGACAACAACTCAAGATCGAGGAATGCATGCCTTTATCTGGCTGGCAGCTCTGAGTGGAGGCTGGAGTTCAGAGTGTCAGCAGAATGGCATCCTATGCCCCTGAGACCCCCACGTGGATCTCAGCGATTCTATTATGAGAAATCTGGTTTTTCACTTGCCTTATCTGGAGGTATTTGCAAATAAGGTAGACCTTGGAAGGCTGAGGTCGAGTATGTTTTCCTTGTTGACGTCACAGATATTGAAGATATTCCTATTGAGCAAATATCAGACAAGTGTAGTGCTTGCTGTATGATCTTTCGAAACGTGACCATTGATGGCCAAGCAAGTTCTGGTTGCATCATTGCCCAGAGCTGACTCTGTTATCCTGGCCTCATTCCAGCTTGGACAAGCACTGCCTCTAAGGACCAGTCCTAATTAAGTCCTTTTTGCCTGCTGCCCCAGCTTGGTATGCGGCTCTGGGCTGCACACCTGCTCACTCCACCCAAGAGGTTGCTGTGTGCCTGTGGTGGGTGAGACACTTCCTGGGCAGCTTTCCATCTGGAAAGGGCTTTGAGGAGCTACACTACCATAGGTATTGATCCAGGAGAGGTTTTTCCTTGAGTTCTTTCTCAGGGAGGTGTATTGGAAAAAAAAAACCACAGAGCTTGGTGACAGAGGCCTGGGTTTAAGTTACAGCACATCCACAAAGTAACTTGGGCTGGTTACTCATCCTCCCTTGGTGTCTCCATCTGTGAGACACCACAGATGGGCTGGTTACTCATCCTCCCTTGGTGTCTCCATCTGTGAGACACCACAGATGGGCTGGTTACTCATCCTCCCTTGGTGTCTCCATCTGTGAAATGGGTTGTTGAGAGACTCACAAGCTAGTATATGGAATACAAGTGTTACCAACTCTAAAGCACTGTATAAATGCTGATTGTTAGTTTCCCAGTGAACCCTCCTCCACATACTTCTGGTCCGTACTGTAGTCTTACTTTTTTGACAGGATCCTGGGCATTTGTTGATAATGATAGTCGTAATCATAACTGATATTTACTGAATGCCCTTTCTACATACATTATCCTAGCTCCTTCACTTAAACTCTCAGAAGCTCACTTTCCTCTTCTGAAAATGGGGATAATGCTACAACCTCCTACAGATTAAATGAACCGATCTAACATGGTGCCGAACACATTTAGAAAGCGCTCAACTAGTGTTCTAATCGTAACCATTGCGTCTCACTGCCCTGTGAAATGCACAGCAGTATCATCCTATCCGGCAGGTGAGTCATCTGTGCCTCAGAGAGATAAGGGACTTGCCTCGTGTCACCCAGGTAATTATTTGCAGGGACAGGATTCCATTTGAAGCCAGTGTTTGGTCCTCTGTGGACTCCTGGTGTGATCGGCTGTGCCGTTTAGCCACATCAGAGGGATGCGTTAGTAACTTTGGTACCGGGGAAGATTCAGTTCAAGTCAGCAACCATTTAGGATTTGTTATTTACCAGGCGCTCGCATGGCTGCTCTGGGTGAAGGCAAAGACACAAGTCATGGGGTTCACAGCATTAATTCACAGTATTAACCTCTAGTCCTACCCTTTCCTGACACATCCTCCCTGGTCCTCCCAGCCCTGTTCATAGGGAGTAGGTGGCTTCCGCCATCTCTGTTCCAGCCATGTCCTCCATGTGACCTCTACCTGCCCTTCCCAGGAGGGCCCTCAGGGCCATTCATTGCTCAGCTCTTCTGAGTCACGGTTGCCTCGTAGGCTCATGCCATCTTCCTTCATCATCTGTCACGTCATATTTCAGGTGCTCATTACTGTATTGGCTAAACCCATCGGGCAGGGGTGCCGGGCGGCCTGTTTGATAGCAGAGCGGAACCTGCTCCACCCCTAATGCTGAAAGTCCCTTGAAGGCAGGAACCAAGTCTCTTACACCATTTGTAATCCCTCCTGTCCTGCTAGAGAAAACTATCTGTGCCTTCTAAAGAAGGAAGTGGTGTAGCTTCCCTAAGGTGGAGAAGATGCCAGTTAGGACAACAGGTGGGATTCCAAGTGGGTGCTGGGTAGAGCTAGAGATTCCTAAGAACACCAAAGGAAGTCTAAGTATAGTGTCCATTTGAATAATGCCATTTGCTTTCTGAATTATCATGTGTTTTTTTCATAAGTATGACCCTCTACTGAACTATCCTTCCTCTCACAGTTCATGCATGCAGGGGTCTGACTTATCTTTGATAATGGTAGAATTTAGTAGAGAGGTTTATATTGCTGTGAGAGACCAGTGGGAAGAGTGTAACCAAACTTTATTCTCTTTTGCCCTTCAGACCAAGCCAGTGGGGGAAGCATTGACTGGGCCTACGATTACGGCATCAAATACTCCTTTGCCTTTGAACTGAGAGACACAGGGCGCTATGGCTTCCTCCTGCCGGCCAGTCAGATCTTGCCCACGGCCGAAGAGACCTGGCTTGGCTTGAAGACGATCCTGGAGCATGTGCGAGACCATCCCTACTAGGGTCCTAGGGAGGAAACAAACACCATTAAATATCTTTGATTTGAAGCAAAGTTGGGTTGTGATTATTCCTTTTTCTAACCCTGATCTGGGAGTACCAGTTCTTCAGTTTCTGCTGCCCTAAAATGCAGCAATTTACTGCACTGCACCCTATGTCCTTTTAAAAAATAGCCACCCTGAGCAGAATGTTCCCAACATCCTTTAAAAGATTTTTTAAAAATTGTGATAAATTATACATTACATATAATCCACATCTGACTCAAAAAATTATATATATTACCTGGCATTTACCATTTTGATTATCTTTAAGTGTGCAATTCAGTGGCATTAAGTACATTCACGGTGTTTTGCCACGGTCACCACTATCCATCTGCAGACTTTTTCTTTATCCCAAACTGAAACTCTGTACCCATTAGACAATAGCTCCTTATTTTCCTCAGCCCGTGGCAACCATCATTCTACTTTCTGTCTCTATGAATGTGCCTGTGCTGGGTACTTTGTATAAGTGGAATCATACAGTATTTGCCCTTTTGTGTCTGGCTTTTTTCAGTTGGCGTAATGTTTCCAAGGCTCATTGTGTTGTAGCAGATGTCAGCCCCTTCACCTAAATGTTAAATAGTGTAGCATTTTAGAGCAAGCAGTGGACTTTTGAGTTTGTTTATTCAATAAATGCTAAGGAAGCAACTACAATGTGCCAGGCATTGTGTCTGGTCCCGTTGTTGCCTTTGGCTTTTCCATTTCCAGTATGCTGCCATATAAAGACTAGTGGAGTCCACACCAGCGACACTCCTTTCTGGTTGCCCCATTGAGTCTGGTTCTCATGTGATTTCTCCATGTGATTTCTCTTTGGACATTTACTTCCATGAGGAATTTAGGTTTTCTTCATGTGTTGATGGTTTTCTCTGAGAGAAAAGGTAAGGACTAAATTCCAGCTTGCCTAGCTATTCTGGGGACTTGATTATTTTGCTTCACATCTCTTAGAGATTCAGGTCTCAGTTTCTCTCGTTCCTAACTTCAAAGCTGGTAGAGCCCAGGCTTTGTGGTGGACAGGGCGGGTTAGGAATGCAGTGTAAATTTGGGAGGACAGAGAGCCCTCAGCTCCTGACAGCTCGCTCCTGGACCACACTTGCATCTCTGTGCCCTCCTATTGGCTAGGCTGGTTCTTGGCGCTAAGCCAGTCTGCACAAAGGTTCTACGAAGTCATCCTCCTATTTTGATATCTGATCAAGTTCCTCATCCCCCACCTTTGACGTATAAGTCCATGGCTTGCCTTGGCTTAGCAAGAATCCCACTACCTTGACGTCTCCTCTTCGTAATTTTCCATCCCACCTGTGTCCTTGCTCAGCCGTCCTTGCTGTATTCAGAGTGGAGCACAATTAGTGTCCCCTATTGTAATGGTTATGACCTATATGACAATCATCTATTTAACATCTTCCTTACCATTTTAATAAGTGTCAGAGTTAAGTTGTATTTAACACTGCCAATAATGACCCTTGGCTGTGTCCACTCCTCTTGCAAAGCATGTAGACTGTAGGGAAGGTGGTATAGGGAAGGATTGTGGGAATTGGGGCTCCCAGGATAGACTCAAAGCCCCAGAGCCCCTGGAGAAGTCCTGGAGATCATGAATTTCTTCCATTTATTCAGCTGTGACTTGGCGGAACAGTCACTGGGCTCGGAGTCTAGCAGACGTAAGAAAGTCTTGCTGTTAATAATACCATTAAGACTTCCCTGTAGTTCAGACCCAAAGGAGCACTGATAATTCATTCAGACTAACACATCCCTTCTATACCATTTACCTGATATATTTCTATTTTTTTTAGTGGAGTCATAAGAATCAGGCCTCAGATACATAAAAGAGGCCACAAACTCTGGTCATTATGACCTAGGGTGGTGAAATTCTCTGGCAGGGCTGATCAAGTGTGTGGTCTTGGAGCTGACTTAGGGTTGCTTTGATAGTCTCCACTGTTTTACTACTCTAGAGGTAACTTCACACCAGGTTTACGATCTGGCCTCTACTATCAGTATAAATTCCACCCAGCACCGTGGGACTTTCTTATTCACTCGAAAAACACTATTTAAATGCCAGTGGTGAGCAATACGGTACCTTTGGCACAGACTTTTCCAGCCTGTAGAGCGAGTTCCTGACCTTGTAAATGGCGAGGCTCAGCCTTTATCACCTGAAAGGAATGGAAGAGGCATCGGTAGGGACTGGCCTGTCACCCTGTCAGAGTTGCAAGGGTGCTTGGGAACCACATTATCATTTTTGAGGATATGAGTCTGCTCAGACACCTTATAAATACAGCTTGACTCAGGCACTATGTGACTGACACCCTTGGGACATGAGGTGGATCCTGTTCTTTGGGGCCCTTATTGGGACCAGCCTCTGTGGCCGAGAAAAATTTTGGGGGTAAGTTACTTTTAGACTTTATTATCATTATTATTAGGTTATTTCAGAAATATGAGAGTCAAATGGAATTGAAAATGAGTGGCTGATTATAGCTCAAGTGGGACGGTCGTGGTGGAAGAAGACCTGGGCTCTTGTCCCAGCTTTGCCCCTGTGTCATCCCGGACACCCAATTTCACCTGTGAAATCAGGACTGAAGGTCGCCACAGTCCTTCCTCAGCATCTTTTTTTTTTTTTTCTGAGACAGAGTCTCACTCTGTTGCCTGTGCTAGAGTGCTGTGGCGTCAGCCTAGTTCACAGCGACCTCCAACTCTTGGACTCAAGCCATCCTCCTGCCTCAGCCTCCCGAGTAGCTGGGACTATAGGCATGCGCCACCATGTCCAGCTAATTTCTTCTACATATTTTTATTTTCTTTCTTTTTTGTTTTTTTACATACCAAACATCTGTTTCATCTTCTATATATTTTTAGTTGGCCAATTCATTTCTATTTTTTTAGTAGAGACGGGGTCTCGCTCTTGCTCAGGTTGGTTTTGAACTCCTTACCTTGAGTGATCCGCCCGCCTTGGCCTCTCAGAGTGCTAGGATTTCCTCAGCATCTTAATCTCCTGCCAATTCTTTTTCTTCCTGGTTCTTATTTGTAACATCAGTCCCAGGCATCTCCTATTTTCTTACTCCTACGTTAATTAATTACTAAGAGTTATCAGAAATTGTTTCTAATTTCTGTCATGCTTAAAGGGAAAACTTGGGTCTCAGCCTTTTTGGTTTCACCTCTCTGTTAACGGTGAAGGCTTTGCAGAGCTGGTACTTTGTCAGTAGCTTCTGGGACATGAAGATTAAATAGGTCTTGCCTAGCCATAGCTATGAAAATTGACACGCAGGGACACACTTGTACAGTGTGTGTGTGTGTGTGTGTGTGTGTGTGTGTGTGTGTGTGCTTGCACATGCGCACACATTACTCACAGAATGCTTTGAAGCTTGCAAAGGAGAGGACATTTGGGAAACAGGAGAGATGAAAGGGACGCCACGGTGCCCTGCTAGAAGAATGAATTATAATAGCTCATTACTGAATAATGCTTTGCCATTTACAAAGAGCTTTCATGTGCATTATCTTTTGGATCACACAACAACTTTGCCAGGCAAGGCTGTTATTTTGCTCAATTTAAACCTGCAAAAAAAACAGCCTTAGAAAGGTTAAGGAACATGCCAAGGCCACTTAGCTGGTAAGCAGGGGAGCCGGAACTCTTAATGCAAAACTGATAGCCTTTTGCTATGACATAAGTTGGTCTCCAGACAGAATCCTCTATCTCCCAAATTTATCTCTATCTATTAGTTTACTCTCTATTTATTGCACTATCTGGCTAAAGGAACTTTCGGGTTGTTTATTGGGGTAATTACTTATATGAGATTGAGTAATTTTTATGGTGATGACTTCTGTTCACACCTGTGTCTCTGCTGCTGAATAGCTCAGAGAGGTTAGGCATAGCAGGTGGCCAGGGAAGGAGGTTTTTCCACAGGCAGCTCGGCAGGAGGTTTGTAATAACTACACTTGCTGCCGTGTGGGCCGATGCACGGAAATGTCAGGCTCTCACTGCAGCTATTTGTGTGGCCGAAAAATCTCTAGTTCTCAGGATACAGACCCCTGTTATCATGGAGTGGGCACCTGGGCTGAGACAGCTGGGCTGGGCCCTGGAGCGCCCACGGCAGGAAGTTTGCACAGAAAGGGCTGTGTACCTGAGCTGACTGCAGATGCTTTTAGCCAATAGTGTCATCCTCACCCCAAAATCTGTTCTCATCCCATAACAGGGAACCCAGTAAGGGTGGTGGAGTTCTTCCCAGGGTCTGTAGACAATGTCCCAGGCACCCAGCTCAGGGAATATTGACAACGAGGGAAGCTGGCCTCTGAGCATTCAAGTGGTCAGGAAGCCATCAGACTGGCTAATGAAGATGAGGATAATGGTTTCCTGTCTCCCAGTCTCCCTTTTTTCCACCTGCCTCACCCACCTCCCCAGTCTCCCCTGCTCTGCTGGTGTCTTCTGCCTTGGTCTTCAGACATCTTAAGGAGGAGATGATGGCCCAGATGGCTGGAGGTGCTGGGCAGGCAGAGAACAGGAAGTAGTTGCATAACTGGCTGCAGCATCAGCAGAAGTGGGTGGGCATCTGTGAGTCTCGTGAAACCATCTCTTAATACTCTTCATGGTGGCTGCTAAGCCTGGCTGGGGAGGCAGGTGAGAAAGGCACCAAGAAAAGGCGCATGGCTGTAGGCATGGAAAACGGGGGAGGAGTAAAAGCTCCGTCACTAAGATGATTATTGACTGTCCGGAACACAGGACAAGTGTGAGGGTGATGGAGAGGGGTCATCAGTGATTGCAGTGGTGGCAGTTGGACAGCCCTGGCAACTGAAGAGGGCCAGAGTTATGAGGAGGTGCAGAAACACCGTGTGGTAGACACAGCCACCTGCAAATCCCAACATGTCTTCCCACGGGCCAATCTTCCGTCTTCAGAAAGAGCTAGAGGTCTTTGAATGAGTTTCCAGATAGCAGAGATAGGATGTACTCAATCACCTAACCTCTCATGACCTGGAGAGGGCATTTTCCAAACAGAGACAAGGACAGTAAGGGCAAGAAAAAGGTGGCCCTTTGCATGGCACCCCATGAATGCTTCCCTGCTTTCAGGGTTGCGGGGTTTATATTCGTAAGGATGATGCTAGCCCCTACCACCACTGCTGATTTTCAGCAGTCTCTGAAGACTGCAGCTAACTTTGCCTCCTCTAATTAGGGAAAGCTTCTTAGGTGACAGGAGTTGGTCCTAAAGACTTGGTGGGAGATTGCCAGACAGAGGGGGCAAAGGACTGGGACTGCAAGCAGAGGAAACATGTGCAAAGGCATACAAGAGCAAAAGTACACAGTGAATCTGGGGTGTCTGTGGGGCTGGGGCTGAGACGTGGAGGGGGAGAGGTGAAGGGGAGAGAGATGGGGGCGGGCTCTACTCGCACCAGGCCTTCCTCCCTGCTGCTCTGCACGCCACAGATGTTTCTTTAACCTCTGTAGCTTGGCTGATTAAAGCATGATGAAATGGACTATGGATTTATTCATCGTCAAAGCAGTCTGAGTCACTGTGTTCCGTTGTTGTGTGCTTTGCCCAGGAGTATGCACAAGTTCTATTGTGAAGTCACCTCTTTGTTTGTTTTTTTTTTTTGTTTTTTATTTTTGAGATAGTCTCTCTTTCATAGGGGCTAGAGTGCTGTGGCGTCAGCCTAGCTCACAGCAACCTTGAACTCCTGGGCTCAAGTGATCCTCCTGCCTCAGCCCCCAAGTAGCTGGGACTATAGGCGTGCGTCACCATGCCCAGCTAATTTTTTCTATTTTTAATAGAGACGGGGTCTCACTTTTGCTCAGGCTGGTCTCAAACTCCTGAGCAGAAGTCACCACTTTGGAAAAAATAAAATGTATGTGCTAGATGAATGCTTAATGAGATTTTCGTATTCTAAAGAGCTTCTTATTCTTATGTCCCTCTTTTTTTCTTTTAAAAATTTTTATTTTTTTAAAAAATAAGCCTACAGCAATTGGTATTCCCAGGCAGTCTCCCTTCCAAGTACTAACCAGGACCAACCCTGCTTAGCTTCCCAGATCAGATGAGATGGGCACATTCAGGGTGGTATGGCCATAGGTCTTCTTTTTTTCTCTTCCTATTCCTTCTCCCTCCCCTCCTTCGTTGTGATTGCTCTAGCCAGTGCTGTGTTTTACAAATGCCACCTCTTGCCAAAAGAGATGGCAACATACAGGCTCTTTCTAGAACCCATTTTTAAGATGCCTCTTTTTCTGGAGTGTTGGAGTTAGGTTATGACACAGCATGGGTTCAGCAGGCAGGTCCTAGTCCTCAGGAGTAAGGGCTTCCCTTCTGTTTGGAACCTGTCCCTTTTCGGCAAGGTTGCTTGACTGGGTCAGGGAAATGGTGGTTTGACTCCCCATTTTCCCAGGGCTGCAGTCCAACTCTTGGCAAACATATCAGGTTCAGACGGCCACCTGCCCAGCCTGTGGCTTGTCATCTAGGCCCTCATCAGCTCTCATGGGATGCAGTTACCTGCCCACCTCCAGGACCCTGCAGGGACCAGGTGGGTTGGCAGAAAGTGAGCCTTTAGCACTGGCACTTCCTCCAGACAGGTCCCCTGTAGCAGGAGCAGCTCTGTAGAAGACCTTGCCTCCTTGGGGCTGGCCTAGACTCCCTGGAGAGCCCCCAGAACTTTCCAGAACCCGGTGAAACTCTGACGGTCCATCCGGATGGAACTGGTTTTCTGATGAGGAGCTGCCACGTGAGGCTGCACGTTTAGCTCCCTGTGACAGAGCATTCATTTTGTCAACAGGTCCTTCAGCCCACAGCAGCTCTCCCCACATTCACTGATGTCAAAGGGATGACGCATGTGACAGCGTCGAGTGCGGATTCATTCGGGCTGTCACCTAGCAACGGTCTAATGGCTCCCCTGGCTCCCTCAGCCAGCTGAGAGCACAAAGGCAGCTTTTCAGGCCCGCTTTCTCCCACCCACACACAGGACTTTGGGGGCACCCAGCACCCCTGGCCGGAAGTCCAGTAATGTACATGAAGCAAGTGCAGGACAAACGACAAGGGGACTGGGACTGGTGGGCCCTTTGGGGGCCTGGGAGGGCCCCTCTCTGCCCGTGGGGAGGACTGGATCCCAAGTTCAGCCTCGGCACCCTGGGCTATGTTCGGTTTCCACCGTAATGTGTGCTTGTCTGGGTTGTGGAGCCGGGAGTGGTTCCGAGAGCGCCCGGCCTCTCCCCTCTTTCCTACGAGGACAACAGCTACCCCTCCTAGAACACAGATACAGGTCCCCTTTCCAGCCTTCCCAGCATGGAGGTTCCGCCAGCGTCTCGGGACTTACTCCTGACAGTGAAGAAGTGCTTCTTTATGTCTTGAGTTAGCTTTGCATGTAACTCAGGAACATTCCTTCTTGTAAAATATATATGTTTTTCATTATAAAGTAATATGACCGCATTACAGAAAACAGATACAAGGGGGAAAAAAAAGTAAGTCATCCATAATCCCACGACCCGAACATAAGGGCTGTCAGCATTTGGTATATTTCCGTTGTCTGTTTTTCTTCCAATGCATCTGCTTTTTCCATCCTTGTAATCATGGCATACATACAATTTTGTGTCCTGCTCTTTTACTTAATATTTCCCTTAAAGTTATACCATAAGCACTTTTTCATATTTGCCACGTAGTCTTATTTTTAATGGCTATACATTATAACCAAAGACTAGACCATTTCCTCCCTTTCGGCCCAGTTGCGTCTGGGAGAGTGGGCTTGGGGTTTATATGCCAGCTGAAAGCTCACCGTGATCTTTTGCCATTTTTTTTTCTTTTTTCTTTTTTTGCCTTCTTCTCCAGGGACCAAGTTTTTAGGATTAATGTCAGAAATGGAGACGAGATCAGCAAACTGAGTCAGCTAGTGAATTCGGACAATTTTAAGGTACCTGGTTTTTCTTAGTCCTCTTGAATGTTTTCTAACTTTGGTGGGAGAAGACTCTTGCACTACATGCGTTATTATTTTTATTCCCGAAGATTCTCTGGGTATAATCCTGTATTAGTCAAACTACGGTTTACACAATTGGGAAGGTTGGTAGGGGAGAAGCGGCGCTGCGGGTCACAGCAGTGCTGTCCTGGGAGGTGGGCGTGTGAGCAGTGGGCCCCCTCCTTCTAGCTGCCTTTGCCTTATTCCTGCCTGGACTCTGCCAGATGCTGCTTGCCGGGCAGGTCTGACCAGACACAGTTGGTGAAAGAGGCAAATTTTACCCTTGGGCAGAGCCCAACCCCTCAGGGATCACCCTAGCTTTTAGCAGTGTTCTAGAAGAATGAGCTCATTGTGCCTTTTACCTGAACTGTCCTTTAACCTGGTTTTACTTCTGCTCCCTTCAGCTCCATGTCTGGCAATCTCCCTCCACCTTCGGTCGGCCTGTGGATGTCCTGGTCCCGTCTGTCAGTCTGCAGCTGGTCAAATCCTTCCTGGCGTCCCAGGGCCTGGAATACTCAGTGACAATTGAAGACCTGCAGGTGGGTGGGCCATGGCCCCTCACTGGTGTTGCATAGGACCAAGCAGCCAGTCTGGAGTGGGCTGGAGAGCTTTTTAAGTTCTGGTCTTATCTTTTCCATTGCATAGATGGAGCAATTGAGGCACCTGGAAGTAAAGTGCAGAACTTGTTAGAGAAATAACATGTAGTGGGAAAGGGCACACATTGATCTCAAGGAACCACACAGATCTGGATCCAAATCCTGATTTTTCTAACTACTAGTTCTGTGTGCTGTATCTCTCCACACGCTATTAACCCCTTGCATCTCTGTTTCTTCATCTGTAGAATGGCAATAGTGACACCTATGTCATGGGATGTATTGAGAAGATTCAGTGATTATATATATGTAAAGTGTCTCACAGTGCCTGGCACATCATAGATGTCCCATTAAGTAATAAGTCCCTCTCCCTTTTCTTCTTTTAAGTCAGGGGGCAAGAGCAGAGTTGGGGGGAGCGGGTTGGAGACCAGCCATAGAGACACCCTTTGAGAAAGGGGGAATGTCACCAATATCCCCCAGCAGAGGCGACATCATTGTCCAGCCTCACGACCTGGACCCGAACATCAGGACAGTGTCTGGCTCGTGCTCTCTCCTCCACTGAGGTGGGTTATGGACTAATTGGTGATTTGGCCTGGGAGTTTCCTGATGGCGTGAGCAGCTGTGAGCTTATTAATCATCCTCACATGTCACAGACATCTGCCAGGAACCTTCAAAGTATGAGTGGTTGTAAGAATTTCTTTGTTTCTGTATGGTTTCCCAAGCTGTGTGTTTCAGAGGCACTGGATACCAGATGCAGGCTGCCGTCTAGAGAATTCATACTCTAGAATAGCCAAATAGCACAGATGCTGCTTCCAGGGAGTAAGTGGGTTTTCAATGGGGTGATGTAAATTGGGCACCAAGAAGTAAAATTTTATAAAAAGATATGAAAGAAATCTGAGGCCGGGCACGGTGGCTCATGCCTGTAATCCTAGCACTCTGGGAGGCCGAGGTGGACATATCGCTCAAGGTCAGGAGTTTGAAACTAGCCTGAGCAAGAGAGAGACCCCGTCTCTTTTAAGTCTAAAAAGACTAAAAATAGAAAGAAATTAATTGGCCAACTGAAAATATATATAGAAAAAATTAGCCGGCACCATCTGGGGGATGGTCATGATGGAGACTCAGACTTTTGGGGGGAGGGGGAGAAATGGGCATTTATTGAAACCTTAAAATCTGTACCCCCATAATATGCCAAAATAAAAAAAAATAATTACAAAAACAAACAAACAAAAAAAAACCCAAAAATTAGCCGGGCATGGTGGCGCATGCCTGTAGTCCCAGCTACTTGGGAGGCTGAGGCAGCAGGATTGCTTGAGCCCAGGAGTTTGAGGTTGCTGTGAGGTAGGCTGATGCCACGGCACTCTAGCCCAGGCAACAGAGTGGGACTCTGTCTCAAAAAAAAAGAAGAAATAAAGAAATCTGACCCCCTTTTAAACCTTGATGTTTGCACTGCTTGTCATGCTGAGGGGGCTGCCATCTTGGCTGGTCCATATACCAAACACGGTGGAAAAAACCCCACGAACCTACATCTCCAGTGGATCACTTCACAACATCATTGCTCTGTCTGTTTTAGGCCCTTTTAGATAATGAAGATGAAGAAATGCAACACAATGAAGGGCAAGAACGGAGTGGCAATAACTTCAACTATGGGGCTTACCATTCTCTGGAAGCTGTAAGTGTTTTGGTGTGGGTTAAGATCAAAGTTCTCTGCTTCCTGAATTTTGTAACCTCTTTCCCTCCTTCCAGGAGGAATCAGTTTTCCCCACACTACCACTCTGCTGAGGGCCTAAAATGCATACACTTCAATTCCTATCTTGGGTTGTTTAACTTCCACCAGCAGCTGACAGCATAGTGAAACACACACTGGGCGTTTTCTCCCACATCCATCCTTCTTTCTGTAAGCACCCCCTTCCAGAAATCCATGAAATAATTGCAATCATTTCCAGTCCTTGTAATTCAACCTTCTTGTACCCTACCATAATCCCTCTATTTTATTCACCCAGAATAAAATGTTAGTTATTCCAAGCAAGTAGACAAGTGGTTATTTCCAAGGTTAACCAAATATTTGCACTCATTTATCATGATTATGTATAATGCATATTTGTTCCATAATGCATTTTGGTGCTATGTTTAGTTAGAAACCACTTTATATAGATGACTGACTTTCAAGGTAAGCCAGACCTTCAGAGGAAAAACTTGGAGCAGAATAATTGCCTAGGATACCGGAACCTAAGAAATCAAGAGGGACTAGAGAAAGGCCTGCATCGTGCACAATACAGTTCTCTTATGTCCCTCGGTGCCTTCTTCATTAGTCTGCAAACTCTACTAGCTCAGGAACACACCCCCAAATCTAAACTGGTATTTGCCCTCGTATACCTTAATACATGTTGTTCTTCAGATGCAAATGCAGTGTTCCTGGCATGCTTTTCATGAGGCATATATTTTGAGTTGTTTTTCTTCTTGACGAGGGATTATTTCAAAGGTTGACTGACTATTTCCACTTCTTTCCCATGATTGTCGCTAGCTTTGTTTACTAGGTACACTTCCAACCAAATTGCCCCTTGATCCTTCTTGTGACCAGTGACATACATCTGCAAAACAGCTGGATAAAGTTAGGAGTTCAGTCTCAGGCCAGGGACAAAAGCAGAGCTCAGGGCCCAGACAGGGATTGAGCCCATGACATCAGCCTCATTAACATGGAGCTGTCCCCAGCTGAGCTAACCAGTTGCAAATGTTACCCACGACCCTGGAGGGGCCACCCCCTCACCTGCGGGTAGTGGGAGCCTCACTTCTGGTGACCACTCACCTTTGGTTTCTCTGGCTGTAGGTGCCCTTTGCAGTCTGGCTTGCAGCTGTCTCTTGCTCTCCGTGAGGCCCTATGCTGTGGATGGGCAGCTATCTCTCTCCCAGCTTGATCATTTTCAGTTCTTTCTAAAAACAGCCTTTAAGAGCTCATATCCTACAACCACGTAGGCTTTTTTGGGTCTCTAGTGGGAATTTCATGTTTGCCTCTGCCAGGGTTTCTGGTTCCAGATCCTTTGTACCTGTCATGGTGGTGGCTGGCAGTGTGAATTTGCACCCCATGTCTGGACACAGCTTGGTGATTTAACTTTTCCTGGGTGACTCACTTTGTCCTCATGGCTCGGGGTAGCCATCTTGCTTTTTCTCCACTCTCTAGGATCAGTGGGTGGAGTTTCCGGGCCCCTTTTTGTGTCCCAAATTGCCAATTCCTAGCTCTCAAAGTTCCAGGTCCTTGCCCCACGCCCTCTGCTCCTCCTCTGTCGGGGTTTGGGTAAACATGCAGCACCTAAGGCAGATGTGTGGTCCTGTGGTTTCATCTCCTCCACCCGGTGGTTAGTTCCATCTTCATTTCTGGCAGCTACAATTTCCCCTTTTCTGGCTTTTAAACTTGGCTGTGAATCATTTGTCTTGTATTTTATCTGGTTTGCCTGTGTGTTTGGGGCGGTTTCTGGCCTCTGTTCCATCTGCCGTATTGATTGCAAGTCTGAGAAACCCTGAAGCCTGATTTTGTTCTATATTGATTACACACTTTCCTCCTCTGTCTAGCTCCTTCTTCTAATCTTAAGGACTAAACAGATAAATTTGTTTATTTTCTTCTGTTGGCCCTCAAATGGTTTGAGGAACTGAGATGGATACATTCTAGTTAAATCAATTTTTTGTGTGTTTTTTTCTGAAAGCAAACGGGAATATTCATAGCCACTGTTTAGAGTCCTTTACTTGTTCTCACCAGGCCGTTAGAGATGATTTCTCTAACGTGGGGTACCTGAATCTCAGGGTCTAAGCAAGGTGGTCCACTGGGATGGAGGAAGAAACCATTACAACTTCTCTGTAGATTTTGACACATATTTATGTTTATTGTTAATGCAACCTTTTTGAAATAATGTACATAATATATATATGGTAGTATGTGTGTATATATATATATATATATACACACACACATATATATATATATATTTACGCTAATTTAATTTATTGTTGTTGATATAAAAAGTGACCACAGGGGTTCAGAGAAAGTTGCTTTTAAGAGCCTGGGCTAACCGGGGCGTTTGCTGACTGTCTAGTCCAGTATGGCACAAGGGGCAAAAGTCTCTCTGCTCTAGTGGACTTTAATTTTGTGCACAAATAAAATGTGCTATTCTCTAGAAAACTTTAGAAAAGGACTCTTCGGGCAGTTACTCGTAATAAGCGTTCCATGCCAATAATATGGTTAACTCTGAGGTTAGGGGCCCAGAAGAAATCATTAAGACCAACAAGGTTAAGTTCACAGAGACCCAGCCAATGCTGAACAAATTCTAACAATGCCCGTGGGTTCACCTTTTCATGCTTCAGATTTACCGCGAGATGGACAGCATTGCCGCAGACTTTCCTGCCTTGGCAAGCAGGGTGAAGATTGGACATTCATTTGAAAACCGGCCGCTATATGTCCTGAAGGTGAGGCGCGTGCACTTGGAAGGGTCCTGGCTGGACTCATGTCCGGGACCCAGGTCAGCTGTTTGGACTCCGTGACTTCAGGGAGGAAGTGAAGTCGGGACACATTGTACCTGGGCTGGAACTTAGTCTGACAGAGTCCCCTGCTTCTGCCTAATGTCGGGGGAGCTGGAAGGAGCACATCCCATTCCAAGTTTTGACTAAAAGACGGGATTGGAGAGGGGAGGCAATTAGTATTCCAGAAAGTTCTCAGATGGTCTTTTGCCCTCATTGTCATCTTCTGTAAATAGCAGGACAAGTTGGGATAGGCCCACGGACTTCCGCTTTTAGGGGTACTTTATTGGAAAAGCGACCTAGGAAGCTAATTTTAGGGTTGATGTAATTTTAAGCCCGGCCTCTGATCCTTGGCTACACAAAGCCTCATTTCCAGATACAGATATTTCTAACAGATTCAGGTGTATACTGGCAAAGGAGGCAGAGAACTATGACAATGACATAAATTACATAAATCAGCCGAATGAATAAAAAGGAATTTGGGCAAATAAACCACGGAACAACTGATGGTGCTAAGAATTTGCCAAACCTTTAGCTTCATATAAGCCCCAAAGAACTCAGGTTTATAGTACTGGGCAAATTACCAGCAGGAGGGGAGACCTGCCACTGAGCTGGTTGCTCTAAAATTAATTACATTTAAATTATTTGCCAATCTTGATGGAGACCCTGGCTTCATTAAGCACCAAGCTCTGACCCAAGGGGGCTCAACACTATGGCAAAGGCAGGAGCCAGAATTCATTACTGCCATTTACAAAGAGCTATAGTGCAACTCCCTTCTTCCTAATTTAAAACCGAATTCATTTATTGCATCAACTGGAACAGACTGGTTCGTGAACCCTTCTGTCTCTCTCTGTTGGGATACCACTTGAGGTCTTTAAAGAGACATAGTATTTATTATCTCTAATCGCTCTGGCATTATACTCCACAATAACAATTGTTTCCCCTTCCCATTTGCTCTGAGTGCTGGAGAGGTTCAGGCTGCCCAGGGCTGCAGCTTGGCCCCACAGCCAACCAATTAAGCTCCCTGGTCACAGATAAGCTCGATAAATGGATGGTGCCCTCAGGAACATTTGGTCTCTGAATTATCTTAAATGAATTAAATGAATGGGAGTGAGCTGGGGAGAGGAGAGGTGAGGGGGATGCGGGCAGGAGGGTCACTTTTTGGCCTCTGCTCCCTCTTGCAGTTCAGCACCGGGGAAGGCCGGCGGCCGGCCATCTGGCTGAACGCGGGCATTCATTCCCGAGAGTGGATCTCCCAGGCCACCGCGATCTGGACGGCGAGGAAGGTCATGTCGCCTGGTATTAGTCAAGAATTCTGGTGGGCCCGGGGTGCCCCTGTAGCGTCGTGTGGCTGGGCCCAGGGCATGAGGTGGAAAGGTGTTCTGCCCAGCCCCAAGAGGCTGGGGGCGGGGTGCTTCTCGGGCTGCAGGAGCCAACGGTCAGAGCCCCTCGGCCAGCCCACTGTGGCTAAGGGACAGAGTACATGCTCCTGGTGGCGAGCAAGCTAGTGAGCAGCAGAGGCGGGCCTGAGACCTTCACCTGCAGTCTACGCACGGAGCAAAGCTCAGGCGAGGCCCCGTGGGCCCCTGGGGACCTCATGCTGTCTCCACCTCCTTCTAGAAAGTCTGCTGGTGCGTGTGGGGGATACATCTTCCCTATCCCTTCACTAGGGGTTCAGATTCCTAAAAACTTATGATATGTGGCCCCCTCTTCCTAGAATGAATCAAGGGGCACCCCAGGACTCACTGCAGTTGCTGCCGTGCCCCCAGGTTTTGAAGGGCTCCGAGGCTGAGCCTGTGAGAGTGGCAGGGAGGCTCCTGAGGGTGGGTGCTGTTCTGGTTGGCTGGGCCTCTCAGGAAGACACACGGCCTAGACCAGTGACCCCCTAGACTAGCCTGGGGTGGGGTCGCTGACAAGCACGTTGTCTCTGCTTAGATTGTATCTGATTACCAGAAGGATCCAGCTATCACCTCCATCTTGGAGAGAATGGATATTTTCCTGTTGCCTGTGGCCAATCCTGATGGATATGTGTACACTCAAACTAAAGTGAGTAATCCCAAATGGGCTGCACTTGGAGTTAAGACTTTGTTGGATGCCTTGCTTTGCTATGAACCTAATTGTCTAAGCTTGGAGAGAACTTCCACAAATGTGCGTGTTATAAGCTCCCTTGGGATTTCATTTTCCAGTCATCTTCAGAGCTAGGAACCACCAGGGAATATTTTTTTTCTTAGCGAGAATAATTGAATGAACTCTTTATCATGGGTCTTAACAATTATCAACATTTTACCAATTTTTTTCATCGCTCTCTCTCCCACACATTTTTTTCCTGACATATTTTAAGCAAATCCCAGACATCATGTTATTTCACCCAAAACCACTTTGGCATGTATCTCTAGCTGATGATGAAAAAAACAGCAAAAACCCCATGATACTACCATTTCCTTTAAAAAATTAGCAGAAGCTCTTTCATATCATCTAACACCCCCAATTGTTTTAAAAAATGTCTTTGAAGAGTCAATTTGTTCAAGTTAGGATCCAACGAGGTCTGCACACTGCATCTGCTGCAGTGTCTCTTTTAGTGTACAGCAGCGCCCACCCCACCCCCCGCCTTTAAAAAATGTCATTCATTTGTTGGAGAAACCAAATAATCTGTCCTGTGTAATGTCTCACATTCTGAATTTGCCTGACGGCCTCTTTGTTGTGCCACTTAGTTTGTTCCCTTATTGCCCCATATTTTCTACTCCCCGATGGGCAGATCTAGAGCTTGATTGGATTTAGGTGAAATTTTCAGGTAAGAATGAAACAGAGGGTGTACATTTGCAATTGCATCATTGATCACCGAGGCACATAGTGTCCATTTGTCCCACTTCTGCCAAAGCCAAAACTTATTTGATGGGTTCAGGTGGGATCAGGCTGGTTCTAGCATACAAATTCCTCATCAGTGTGTTTTAAGGGAGCCCCCCTTTTAGAGCCAGAAGGGAAAACTGTCCTATCTCCTTGGGAGGAGAGGTCACTGCTCTGTCAGTGAGGACTGGAGCCCAGAGGACCCTTCAGGCAGAGCCCCAAGCAGTCCCACCTGTGGTGTCTTAGGCCTCTCTTGTGCCCTGACCTGCTTCTGGATGTTTGTTCCTTCCTTGGTGGCATTTTCAGAACCGATTCTGGAGGAAGACACGGTCCCTAAATCCTGGAAGCCCCTGCGTTGGCACCGACGCGAATAGGAACTGGAACGCCAGTTTTGCAGGTAGGTAGGGGAGACGCTTTGCAAAGCCTGCTCCCCCTGGTATAACCTGGTCTACCAGTGCTCTGCGCTGGCCAGGATGGGGCCAGTCTCTCTCTGCTTCCATTGCTGATTCACTGAGCGACCGAGGTGCATCCCTTATGCTCTCTCTGCCTCCATGTTCTATTTTTTTTTTTTTTTTTTTTTGAGATAGACTGTCACTCTGTCAACCTAGCTAGAGTGCAGTGGCATCATCATAGCTCACCACAACCTTAAACTCCTGGGCTGAAGTGATCCTCCCGCCTCAGCCGCCCGAGTAGCTGGGACTACAGGCATCGCCACCACGCGCAGCTAATTTTTCTATTTTTTGTAGAGACAAAGAGGTCTCGCTCTTGCTCAGGCTGGTCTCGAACTCCTGACCTTAAGTGATCTTCCCACCTCAGCCTCCAAGAGTGCTAGGATTACAGGTGTTAGCCACTGTGCCTGGCTATTTTGGTTTCTAAATTTTATTTTTATAATTTTGAAAGGGAATGATTCAGTAATTCCTCTCCTCCTGAGAGAATGATAGGACAAAGCATCTTTACATTGAGATTAAAATCGACATTAATATTTTTTTTTCTTTTTTTCGCGTCTGTTTATGTGGCAAGAATACACTAATATTTTTAAAAACCAACCTTGTCTTACATGTACAAATCCAAGGGCTCTCCTTATCTCTGGCCATACCAGCTCTGCCTGGGCTAGTTATGAGCAGGTAGAAGGACTTCTCCTGGCAGCTCAGAAGAGAGCAATTAGCACTGTTACCCAAATAGGCAAGATCATGCTGTGAAAATTAAACTCCAGCAGTTTACTCTTAGATGTGTAACATGAACCTCAGCAGCTTGCTGTCACAGAAAGAGAACGAGAATTGGGCGACCTGGGTTCTGAGTTCCAGATATTAAAAAGCCATCCTTCAAAAAAGTGCCAACTATGTGCCAAGTACTTTCTCATATATATCATACTTATTCTTCTCACCTTGTGGTGAATTTCATGGCCTGAAATGAGAGAATGGAAACTCAGAGACAATCTCAAGATCATATAGCCGGCCGGGCGCGGTGGCTCACGCTTGTAATCCTAGCACTCTGGGAGGCCAAGGCGGGCGGATTGCTCGAGCTCAGGAGTTCGAAACCAGCCTGAGCAAGAGCGAGACACCGTCTCTACTATAAATAGAAAGAAATTAATTGGCTAACTAATATAAATAGAAAAAATTAGCCGGGCATGGTGGCGCATGCCTGTAGTCCCAGCTACTCGAGAGGCTGAGGCAGCAGGATTGCTTGAGCCAAGGAGTTTGAGGTTGCTGTGAGCTAGGCTGACGCCACGGCACTCACTCTAGCCTGGGCAACAAAGCAAGACTCTGTCTCAAAAAAAAAAAAAAAAAAAAAAGATCATATAGCTGCTAAGAGTTCAAATCTATACTCACCTTCCTATTCCAAATCCAGATGGTGTTCTTTCACTATTCCACAGCTGTACTGATGTTTTGATTTTAATGCACTCCTTTTACTTGCATAGAAATACCACAAAAACCATTAGGGAAAAACAATGAATATGGGAAAGGAGCTGATACCAATATGAGAACTTAGAGCATCAAAGCTGAGTTAGATAGTGTCACACTGGGGTGGTTTTACTGACACACACACACTCGTGACGCACCCCGGACACCTCAGGGTGTTATATTGCAAAGTAATACAGAAGGCAATATTTCTAAATACCTGCCAAATAAATAATAGAGAGATTTTAGCCACAACAATAGATTATTTTTGGCAGCACTTGGCCATTACGATCTGAACCGAGAGAATAAGTTGACACCAGGATAAATGGAGTCATTTTCATTATTTATTGGTATTCCTATTAATTATCTAGAACACTTATTAATTACAGCTCATTCTCAAGTATGACATTAATTACTTATGACAACTGCCACTGGTATGATACAGTTGTCCATTTAAAGGCGTCCTAATGACTTTCCTCCTCAGCTGTGGCAGATCAACACCTCCGCCTCGCGCCCGCACCCTCCCAGCTATCCCCACACACCGGGTCCCCAGGGGCCCCCGGCAGGGGCCCGCCCCTTGCCAATGCCTTCAGCACCCCCTTGGGGTCGAGTGTCCTACATTTCTGTTTTCTTGGCCTGTCCCCAACAGGAAAAGGAGCCAGTGACAACCCTTGCTCCGAAGTGTACCATGGACCCCACCCCAATTCGGAAGTGGAGGTGAAATCGGTGGTAGATTTCATCCAAAAGCATGGGAATTTCAAATGCTTCATCGACCTGCACAGCTACTCGCAGCTGCTGCTGTATCCGTACGGGTACACAGTCAAAAATGCCCCGGATGCTGACGAGCTGGTGAGTGACAGGCAGCCGCCCCGCCAGCCCCACCTGGCCCTGCTGCACCCTTGGCACTGCCCCGGTGGTCGTTCCGTGGCTTTGTAGGGAAAGTCTGGGGATCTGGTGGGTTTCATTAAGGGCCCAGTCTTCTCTCCCTGCCCTTTGGGTTGCGCTGGGGACAGGAAGAAGACAGTGCCTCTTGTTTCTGTGCCTACCGTGAGCTCCCAGGACCACACCCGACCCTGTCTCTTCTCTTCTGTCCTTCTGACTGAAGCATGTTGCGGACCCACTGCTTGCCGAGGACAGCGGTTGGCACTGCTGTGTGCAAGGGAGGTGCTCCTGGCTCTAATTAAGGAAGAGTTTACATAAGGTGTAGGCCACAGCCCACGGGTGCTCCGTGTCACGTCTGGTGGCACTTAGGGGCACCCTGGCAGGAGCCGGGCCACATCTGCAGGGTGACTGCAGACCGCTGCCTCTGTGCTCATCTGCGTGAATGCACCCCACTGCCCTGGCCACAGCCAGCCCATAATCCTCCAGGCAGATGCAGCTGCTCCCGGGCTGGGGGCTGGGTGTGGGCTGGATTCTGGCCTCCAACCTGAGGGCAGGCACTCTGCAGGGCACATGCATGCGTGGTGGTCCCGGCTCCTATACACTCTAGAACACCCAGCCCTTCGAGGGCTGTCTCTTGAACATACTTGGCTTTCTCTCATGGCCATGTATGTGACATCCCCTTCCTTGGGATGAGTGAAGACAGTGGCCCCTTTCCTAGACACCTAGGGTCTTGGTGAGCAGCTGTCCAGGCCCTGAGAGAGCTTGGGTGCCAGCCCTCCAGTCTGCATGCGAACCAACAGGCTTCTCGACTCCCTCTTACCTTTTTTCCCAAACTGGGGATGCGGTGGGAGAAGGAGTTGGAGGAACCCTGTCACCTCCCTCAGTTCCCAGTCGTGCCTTGGCTCTGGGCGGGTGAGAAAGAAGAGACCAAGGGGGAAATCAGGGGAGTGGCCGAGAACCTTCCAAACCATCCCAGTGCAGAGCAGCTGAGGAACGTCAGGCTCCCGGATCCATTCTTTCTCATTCCACCGATTCTCCCTTCCCAGGACGTGGTGGCCAGGCATGCGGCCAAGGCTCTGGCTTCCCTGTCGGGCACTGAGTACCAAGTGGGTCCCACCGCCACCACCATCTGTAAGTACTCTCTGTATTTATTTGTTCTTTAGAAAGCACTTGGAGAGGAACCTTGAAATGGGATAGGAGGGGACTGCACGTTAGACTTGCTGTGTTGTTTTGTCTGATTGTTTTTGTGGTGAGTAATGGACTGAACTTATGGCTATCAGCCTCTGTGCTGATAGCTGTTGCAGGCAGTCGCCTTCCTAAATATCACCAGCGCCATCAAGCTATTTATCATGTGCCCAAGATGAGTTAAGTCTTGTCAGCAGAGTCTGTGTTCTCTATTTTGCATTAAAGATCCTGACATAGTTTATCAAAAATTGCTTAAGCCCATCATTCCAATTTCAGAGGAAATCCACCTTTGGGTTGGCAGAAGGATGGTGCTGGGAGTGGAGGTGGGGAGATAAATTACCCTTGGAGCATATCGAGGGGGCAGCTGGGTTAGGGGGTCCCTCCCACAATGGTTAGCAGCTAGCCACAATATCTACCAAGCCCCAGATCTGAACCTGGGCTTCAGGCTCACTACCCACAGCCTCATTTTGAGGAAATACCTTTGTTTTGGTTTTTCATGGAAATGTTCCATCTGAGACATTTGCTCAGTTGTTGCTAAGAACTTTCTACTTTCCTTATTCTGTGAGTCCATCTTTAAATGTTCTGGTTGGAAAAAAAACCAAAAAACATACTCCAAGACTCCAGTTGTAAATGGGAAATATAAATACAGTCATGTACCATATAATGGCATTCTGGTCAACAACAGACCACACGTACAATGGTGGTCTCATAAGATTATAATATCATATTTTTTATTGTACCTTTTCTACCTATCTTTAGATGCACAAATACTTAACACTGTGTTGCAATTGCCTAATTGCCCACAGTATTCAGCCCAGTCACATGCTGCACAGGTAGCCTAGGGACATGGGCTGTATCATACAGCCTAGATGTGTAGTAGCTATAACGTCTAGGTGTCTGTACGTCCACTCCATGATGTTCACTCAACCATAAAGTCATCTAAGGATGCATTTCTCAGAACACATCCCCCTCATTAAGCAACACATGAGGGCATAAATATAGGAAGCACAATTGTGATTCTTTTAAAGGTAATTCCCTTGTTTTTCCCTCTAGTGCCTCTTCTATCAATAGTGTTCCAACAGTTGAGCCCCCCTCAGAACCCCTGCAAACTTGTTGGTATTTCTTTCCTCTTCATACTGTAACTCACGCCCCTATCCTGCCTGATTCCCTCCAGACCTCCCCGAGCTCTCCTCTGGCCTGTGGCCTCAACAGCTCCCGTCTCTGTTTCAGCTGCCACTGAGCTGCATAAAGCAGTTAGCATGATGTTGGTGTTTGTGCTGCTAATTACAGCAACAATCCATTAATTATTCATGGTTTATTGTTATTAGTGTTGTTAAATGAAAACTCTTCAGAGAACACATCAGCAGAGCTTCTCCACCTTCTGCTTAATTAGTCAGAGCTGAGTCAGAGTCCAAAGAGCGTTTAAAGAGACTTGGTAGGAGCCCTCTGAGGAGGTCCTCCCCAGAGATCTATCTCTGTGAGTCACCAAGGTCCTGGCTCTTGGGTCAAACAGCAGTTTAAATAATGGTCATGTCCTCCCACATCAGATGTGTTCTTCTCCCAGCGTGAGCTGCACCCAAACCAAGAGATACTCATCCGATTCCTCCAACAGAAGAGGAGGGAGGCTCTCCTGAGGGTTGTCCAGGAGACATAAAATTTATTTCCTACCTCTTTCGAGAGCCCATCTTCTATATTCTTTATAGAATTGCCTATCCTCCTTGCTTTCCAAAGAGGCAATCAATTTTTGTATAATATTAATAGCGCTCTATCTAACCCCCAGGGTTTTGGCATGTGCTGCATAAACAGTTGGCGTTTGTTCCTCCAAGTGCTCAACCTTTTCTTAAATTAACCGTTTTAGATGAAAATAATTCTAAAATGGATTTCGCACTCTCCTGCCTTCTTAGAGCATGTAGAAAAGATGTAAGCTGCTTTCTTCATGATCGAATGGTCTTGCGAACTTCGGCTATTACCTCCTGAAGGCCTACTCCACCATATTGGACTGTTCCATCCCTCTGCTAAATGGTCCCAGCCTGTTTTGTTTCTTTAATTCTTGTGTCTGCTTTTCAAAGTTTTTATGCCTCCTTTCTCCTGTCAGACTGTCAGTGGTAGCTCGTGTGGTTTTAGGCAAACTGCCTCTAGCATCCTTTTCCCCATCCCTCACTGGTTCTGCTCTACCAAGGGCTTAGAAACAAGTTCTTTGGGCTCATCTAAGCCATGGATGCATCACCTGCATTAAGGATGTTCATGACAGCATTGTTTATAGTTGCTAAAGATGCGTGTAAGGGCCTAGGGCAAACTTCCCCTCTCAGGAACAATGGAAAAATAAAAGAACCCATATTTCCATTTAACAGGCATGTTAATAACCGAATGGGCCTGGGCTTTGTCATCAGATGGACCTGGGTTCAAATCTCGGCTCTGTTATTTTCTGCCTGTGCTTCCTGGGTAGGATAAAACACCCATTCTGAGCCTAGATTTCCTCCTCTGTAAAACATGGACGATAAAACCTACCTCACTGGGTTCTTAAAGATTATGAGGTCATAAATGTAAAGTTTCTAGTGTCACGACTGCTTACGGCAGACGCTCAGTAAATGGTAGCTGCAATGCTCTGCACTCTCAGCCAGCTTTTGCTCTGGTCCAGTTGGACTGGAAAAAAGCCAATAAGTAGGCCTCTTGCCTTTCTTCAGCCTTCTGGCAAAGGGACGTCCCAAGGGCCGTGATTCCTTCTCTCCGTGTATTTGTTATCACTTGCGATGTGAAAAAAAATCCTAAAACTTAGCAGCTTAAAACAACAAACATTTATTTTCCTACATGGTTCCTGTGGGGCAGGGACTCAAAAGCAGCACAGCTGGGCGGCTCTGGCTCGCGATCGCACACGAGGTTGCAGTCAGGACGTCTTCCAGGGCTGCAGTCAGCCCGAGGCCTGCCTGGGCTGGGGGGGCTGCTCCAGGGCGGCCCACCCGGATGCCTGGAGAGCCAGTGCTGATTGCTGGCAGGGGCCTCAGTCCCTCACTGCAGGGAGTGTCCTTGCAGCATGACAGCTGGCTTTCTCAGACTGAGCCATCAAAGAGACAGCAAGGAAGCCACCATATCTTTTACCACCCGGCCTTGAAGGTCACAACAGCTCTATTTCTGCAACATACTGTTAGTTATGCTGCTGAGGTCAGCCCTATTTGATGTAGGAGAGGACCACACAAGGACGCGACTTCTAGGACCCAAGGATCATTGGGGCTATCTTGGAGGCTGCCTGCCACAGTCTGTCTCTGCAGAGACTGGTTTTGAGTGACCTACAGGACTGGACACAGTGAGTTAGTGACAGGGTGGGAACAAGAATTTCAGGTCTCTTGGTTGAAGGCAGCGCAGACCCTCACGGTGCAGGACGGCCTGAGATGACGTTTTTGTGCCCTACACCTGCTGACTTGCAGAAAGAACTCTGGATCCTTAAGGAGCCCCAGGCAGGCAGAGGTCCTGTGTCTTTCCTTCTAACCCTGAAGGGAACTGGGACTTCAAGAGTGTTTTCTGTTCTGACTTACAGATCCAGCCAGTGGGAGCAGCCCCGACTGGGCATACGACAACGGCATCAAGTATGCCTTCACGTTTGAGTTGAGAGATACCGGGCACTACGGCTTCCTCCTGCCGGCCAGCCAGATCATCCCCACCGCGGAGGAGACCTGGCTGGGACTGAGGAGCATCATGGAGCACGTGCGGGACCACCTCTACTAGGCGAGGACCCCGCTTCCTCTACATCTATTTGTACCCATACGCGCGCACACCGAGGCCACCGTCAAAGCCGCTCATTCCTTCCCGAGTGAGCCGGAGCCCTCTGGGCCTGCAGAGTTCACAGGCCTGCCCCTCTCCAGCCCGCGCCCTGGAGTCGTGCGCCCTGGCCCTGGCCCTGGCCCTGTGCCAGGTGCTGTGCCCGCTGCTGGATTTTGGTGCTGCTGCTGAGCCTTTGTCCGCCTCTCCGTCCACATGGCTGGCTGGGCGGCCACACTGAGGGCCATCCCTTCCCGGGGAGCAAGCCTCTACCTCATTTTTAGGACAGAACCAGCTGAGATGGTTCTGTAGCCAAACTACACGGGAGGCACAGTGGGAGGCAATGCTTATCTTTGGTGGATCTCAAAGATGATGCAGAACTTTAATTTCTCCCACTCCTTTCGGAATATGGTTTTCTTTGAGCAATGAATCCTGTGGGGTCATCAGGATAGGTCTCTCCTCCTGGCCCCTTTCTTTTTAGTCTGAATACAAAGTAGAGGATCACTCTCCGCCACCGGGCTGGGAATTTCTAGATACCACAGTTCTTATCCTTTTTGTCCCTTCATTATTCAGTGTCACTGGGATGGCAGGAGGGGATCTATGTCCCTCTAGGCGCTGCTCTCCAAGGAAGGCTGGACGAAGAGGTGACCGAAGTCTCAGGATGGCTAAATTAGCCCCATCTGTCCTGAGGGACACCCCTCCTCTTTGCCTTTTGAACTCACTTCAAAGATCTTGCCCTCACCCTCCAGGTCCTAAATCATTCCCCTGGTCTGGATAATCTCACTGCCTCGGCACATTCCTGTTTGTGCTCTGGTGTTTGCTTCTCCCGGCGTGTGTGTGTGTGTGTGTGTGTGTGTGTGTGTGTGCGCGCGCGGATGCGTGCGTGTGCGTGCATGTGCACGCACGTGTGTGTTTAAAGTTGTCCTCTTCTATTGTGTATCCCGGACCATGAGCACCTAAGTGGAGCAAGAATTCATCAGTCAGATGCCTCTTGTTCCATTTCTCTTCTGTATGCACCATCTGTCCTTTTTTGTTTTTTGTTTTTGTTTTGTTTTTGGTTTTTCTGCTTTTTCTTTTCAAACATGTCTGTAAATCTTCACCTTCTGCCTAGGATTTGGGCAGCATCTGTTGTGTACTCAGAAGCCAATAAATATTCAGTATGAGTCTCACGATCATCTCCTATTCTTCCCCTTCACCTGCATGGAACCAAGCCATGGTTTTGAATAAGCAGCTCTTTATAAAGTCAGAAGTCGATTTTAATCCCTGTCCGTACTGCAGGGCACGTAGGCAGGCCCCCTTCACCACGCCGAGGGGCCTCCGGGGCAATGTTCCCCTGGTGATCTCAGTCTCGTCGTGGGGCTAGTTCTTCGTTTTTCAGCTTAGAAGCTTGATATTCCCAGTGTCTGTGTTGATTAGACTTGGGGATGCTGACTCACGCCTACAGAGCTCAGATGAGGCTAGAAAATCAGAATACGAATTTATTAATTTACATCATGGCACGTAACTGTGTAGTAGATTGGATCCTCACGTCGGCCTGAACAGCACATTCTCTCCCTGTAGGCAAGATACATGGGAAGCCAAATTATAATCAGGTGGTTGCTTAGCAAGCAGGCGTCAGTGCAAGGAAAGTTAATTAAAGTCTATGATTAGAATTTTTAATAACACCCAGCTCTAATAGCAGATATATCCACTTCTATAACAGAAAACACCTGCCAGCCAGCCAGCTGGTCATTGTGCCAGCTAGTCAGGGCTCCGCAGAGAGGGCAGGCATCGGAGGGCACGACGGTGCGTGCCTCTGTGACTCGCCTGTCACCTGGTCCCTCGCATTGAGATTACCCTTCCCATTCCTTAAGGGGAAGATTTCTTAAACAGGACATAAAAATCCATAAAAAAAAAAAAAGGCTGATCCTGTGACTATAAGAAAATTAACAATTTGGCCGGGCAAGGTGGCTCATGCTTATAATCCTAGCATTCTGAGAGGCTGAGGTGGGTGGATCATTTGAGCTCAGGAGTTCAAGACCAGCTTGGGCAAGAGAGAGACCCCTTCTCTACTAAAAATAGAAAGAAATTAATTGGACAGCTAAAAATACATACAAAGAATTAGCTGGGCCCGGGCGCGGTGGCTCACACCTGTAATCCTAGCACTCTGGGAGGCCAAGGCAGGCAGATTGCTCGAGGTCAGGAGTTCGAAACCAGCCTGAGCAAGAGCGAGACCCCATCTCTACTATAAATAGAAAGAAATTAATTGGCCAACTAATATATAGCCAGGCATGGTGGCGCATGCCTGTAGTCCCAGCTACTTGGGAGGCTGAGGCAGCAGGATTGCTTGAGCCCAGGAGTCTGAGGTTGCTGTGAGCTAGGCTGATACCACGGCACTCACTCTAGCCTGGGCAACAAAGTGAGACTCTGTCTCAAAATAAAAAAAATTAGCTGGGCATGGTGGTGCATGTCTGTTGTCCCAGCTACTCGGGAGGCTGAGGCAGAAGGATCACTTGAACCCAGGAGTTTGAGGTTGCTGTGAGTTAGGCCGACGCCACGGCACTGTAGCCGGGGCAACAGAGTGAGACTTTGTCTCAAAAAAAAAAAAAAAAGAAAGAAAAAGAAAATTAAGAATTTTTATTCATAAAAAGATGCCTTATAGAAAGTGAGAAACAAATTAAAGGCTAGGTGAAGATATTAACAATATTCATAATTCATAATACACACAACAGACAAAGGATATATGAAGAACTTCCACAAATCAATAAGGAAAGCACAAAAAATCTGATAGAAAATTGGGCCAAGGTATGAGCAAGCATTTCTTAGAAGAGGAAGCAGGATTGTCTGATAAACATATGAAAGAATGATTAGTGATTGAGAACATGCAAATCAAGACTGCAATGAAATGCTAATTTACTCATTCAGTTTACAAAAATCAAAAAGTTGAAGAGGATGTGGGTGGCTAGGTCTCTGATTCATTATTGCTGGGCAGGTGAATCAGTAAAACCACTTTGGAAAACAATTTGACATTATCTTTAAAATTTCATACCTTATGATTCAGCTATTCCACCCACGCATAAACCCAAGAAATTCTTGCAATTATACCACAGGAGACATAGGAGACTGTTCATAACAACACTTAAAAAATAATGAAAACCTAAAAACAACTTAAAAGACCATCGGTGGGAGAATGGGCGAATAAAGTATGGTATAGTTACATACTAAATTATGACAGTCAAAACAAAATTTAGTATGATTTCCTTTCTAAAAAGTTCCAAATAACTGAAAAAATATATATTATACATATGTACTTTTAAGGAAGACATACAAATTTTGATGAAACTATATAAAAAGGGAAGCAAGACATAGTGGCCATGCCTAGACCCCCTCCTCCTGGTCGGCCACATGGATCCCCAGCGGCTGTGGGTGTTGGCTGCAGAGGGTTCTGGGTTTCATCCGTCTCCAGAAAATGGCCTTGGCCAATGGGGGCTGCCTCACCCAGGAGGCTGTGCACCTGTTTCCCTTTATGCTACCTCCCCTAATGTCAGCTCATGGCAGACTGGCTCAGGGCTGCAAATAGCTAGCTCTTTGCCTCAAGGTGGGACCCATGCTTTGGTACAAGGAGTGCTCCAGAGCTCCCTGTGATGTCAGGCCAAAGCCAGACTCCAGGATGATTCGGATAAGTTGTCCTTGCTTTTTTCCCTGGCCCACCTTGTTTCCCTCACTCTCTTGAGACCACTCCTGAGTGTATCCCTTGCGTAAGAATCTCCATCTCACGATCTGCTTCCAGGGAGATGAACTCAAGACAATAGGAAACAAAGGAAGTGGGATTCTGAGTGCTGATTCCTTCGGACGTAGAGAGGCAGAGCATGAGAGGAGGACCGTAAGCTATGATTGGATGACAGAGCCTAACTTTTGTCTTAGCTTCTGTTTTCTCAGGTGTTTATTGTATGATTTTTTAAAAACCTAATTTAAATAGCTAAATAAATAATGAAAAGAGGGCCATGCATGGATCAACAATGGGCGTGCTGTTAACCAAGAATTATGATCAATCTATTTCTGTGGACCTGAAATCTAATTTTTAAAATGTTTATAAGGATACAAATTTTAATAAAAAATTTTACTATTCAACATGCATTTATTGAGTACCTACTATGCGCCAGAGACAGTTTTAGAGGCTGGAAATGCAATAGGAAAAAAGATAAAAATCTCTTCTTTCGTGAAATTTCATTGTAATTGGACAGGCAGGAAGTCCTTAAGTAAACAACTAAATTAAAAGTGAATTTGGGTAACAAGAGCTGCTATAAATAAAAGAAAGCAGACGGCTTTCAGAAGAGGGATGGGTGGTGAGAGAGCCTCTATGGATTGAGAGAGCTAGGGAAGATGGCATTTGAATATAGTATTATAAATTCTTCTTCTTCTTCTTCTTCTTTTTTTTTGATCACCCAGGCTAGAGTGCAGTGGCATTATCATAGCTCACAGCAACCTCAAACTCCTGCGCTCAAGTAGTCCTTCTGCCTCTGCCTCCCAGAGTGCTAGAATTACTGGCATGAGTCACTGTGCCCAGCTGCCCATAACTTTATTCTTTATGTTCTTTGTATACTTCTCCAAGCCATGTGAAAAAGGTGGGCTACATTTTATTATCCACGCTTTATAGATGGAACATCTCCAGAGCTGTATGTTTTCACCCAAGATGAAATTAATATGTTCTCTAAGTGAAGACCCCACTGAAAACGAGAAAACCTGAGCCGTGAACATGCATGGACACAACTGAAATTTCTGTCACACATTTAAGTTTGAAAGGCTTTCATACCTCATCAAATAGTCTCTATGGAATTTCCCACCAATAAGACATCACTGAGCATGGAAAAGGGATAAGCCAGCAATGATGGGAAAAAGCGTTTTGAGTTCTTTTTTGCAGTTCTGGAAGCCATCTCCAGGTGTCATACTACGGGATCCTCCTCTTGGGGACCAAAAGAAGACTTCTGTGAAGTAGCTGCCACGGTGAGGGGTATAGTCCGCAGCTGTGGACGGGATTAGTTGGCATCCATGGCTGCTCACTCGAAACCGGAGCCACTCATCGACCTGCAGCCACCTAGGGGCCAGGGAGCAGATCACATCCACTTCTGTCTTCTGGGTCACCGACAGTGGGGAGCAGTGGAACCACCCAACTCCCTCAGTGCCCTGGGCCATGATGCACCCTCTAGGATCCTCAGTTTTTATCTATCTATCTATCTATCTATCTATCTATCTATCTATCTATCTATCTATCTATCTATCTATCTATGAGGTGGGTCTAGGCTGGTCTCAAACTTCTGGGCTCAAGCAATCCTTCTGCCTCAGCCTCCCAAAGTGCTGGGATTACAGACACACACCACCATGCCCGTCCTGTTTCCCATTTTTAAAATGAAAATAATTTCCGGGCGCAGTGACTCTGACTGTAATCCTAGCTCTCTGGGAGGCAGAGGCGGGCAAATCACTCAAGGTCAGGAGTTGGAAACCAGCCTGAGCAAGAGCGAGACCCCCGTCTGTACTAAAAAATAGAAAGAAATTAATTGGCCAACTAAAAACATACATGCCAGGCATGGTGGCGCATGTCTTTAATCCCAGCTACTCTGGAGGCTGAGACAGAAGGATTGCTTGAGCCCAGGAGTTTGAGGTTGCTGTGAGCTAGGCTGACACCACAGCACTCTAGCCAGGGCAATAGAGTGAGACTTTGTCTCAAAAAAAAAAAAAAAAGAAAATAATAATAGTATCTGCAATGACTTATCGAGAGCATTAAATAAGCTAACATGTTAAGGAAGCTAGTGATTAACCTGACAGAAGCTCTCGGTAGGTGTTAGAATTATTGTCACTGAATGGTGGCAATTTCTTTTGAATGGGGTCCTTGGCATTTTCCCTAAGTGGGAGAATTATTTGCTTTAGATTTTTCATGAGACTCAATAACGAAGATCTCAATAGTGCACAGAAAAATACCAGTTGGATGTTAAGTCGTGTTTTGGTATTATTTGGGTTTTGAAATATTGTGGTTCTTTCTCTGGGACCTTTCCCGTGTGATATAGATATTGATACCCCTTTATTAGATTACGACAGAGAACCATGGCCTGAAGCCATCATAGGTCCAGCTTCCAAGCACATCTATGTCAAACATATGGGGTCACCTCTGAGTTTTATAGGTCCTGGGAAGGGTTTGCTCCAACTCTGGAATGTCCTATGTAGATTATACTTCTTTTATGTTAGTATATAAAGACCAACTATGTAGAATCATTTTTATCATTATCACCATCATCTTTATCTTTCTGTTTGGTGAATTCTGGAATTTTGCCAACCCAGGCAGCTTGTAAAATAAATTCTCTCTGCTATTTGTGTTGAGCCTTAAATCATGAACACCAGCTGTTTCTTGTATTTGAAGTAAAGCTCCAGGTGTATTGGGGGCATCCAGAGAGCACAGGCAGTTTTTTCCTCCTCTAGAATAGACGGGTTCAGCTGGCAAATTTGCTCCTTTATTAAAGAAAGTGAATCTCATGCTTTTTTTGTATCTCCTATATGGCTTAGCTCAGCAGCTAGTAAATATT